GTGTGTGTGTAGTGTGGGATGCGTGTGGTGTGTGTGTGATGTGTGTGTGGTGTGTGTGCTATGGGACGGATATGTGTGGGATGTGTGGTGTGGGATGTGTGTGTGTGGTGTGGGATGTGTGGTGTTGGGGGATGGGAGGTGTGTGGTCCGTGAGGATGAAAAGAGCCGTGTCTATAGGAAACAGGTTTGGATACTAGAAGATGGAAATGAGTCACATTTGGACCGCAGACTTATCCCAGACACTTATCATCTGAAAAAACCGGGACAAGTCACTTTACCCCCGGCCTCATTTGCTGTAAAACAACCTGTCAACTTCATGGGGCCACTGGGAGGACCTGTTCACAAAGAAGCGCTATGAAAGCGTCAGTATATGCAAAGCGCACTGAAGAGAGTAGAGAGAGAAAGAGGAAAGGTAGTGATCCCTGATTTTCAGGAGTTCCATTGCAACTGGGGGAGACAGACATAAAACTCTCTCTAATTTCTGCAGAAGGGAAGATAAGTGGCAGTGAAAACTGCCGTCTCTTGAGCCCTTGACGGTCTGGCAGACGAAAGACGTTCAGCTTACAACCTTACACGGTGGGTTAGAGTAGCAATCCCATTTTGCAGGTGAGAAACTAATGGTGAAGGTTTACTCTTTAACGGCTCCAAAGACGCACTGGTATTCAATGGCACAGCCAAGATTCACCCAGGCCTGTATAACCTCAGTCTTTATCCCGTCACCTTCTTGTACTGTTTCCTTGCAAAGGGCAAGGGTACAGAGATGGGACGCAGAGTGCAGAGATGGGAACCATCGCTCTCAGCTTGGAAAAAGGAGGAGAAAGAACCAACAAAACTGGGCAGAGACACCTTGTAAAACTGGGTTGCTTTGGGCAACATGCGAGGTCTCAAGATTGTCACGATTAGTGTGTGTCTGATCACAAACCCAGAAAGACAGGGAGATGAGAGGGAAAGAGGGGGCACCTGGGAACCAGAGATGTGGGCAGGGACCACCGGCAAGTTCCACCCCAGCAGAAGGGCTACACCGCCGTTGGAGAGCAGCCACGTGGATTAATGTCTAATCGTATTAATATCAGGGAGGAGAATTTGGTTAAAGCTCTGCCTGGCTCCATCTCAGGCTGAAAATCACCAATTTCCTTTTTTTTTTTTTTCCTGCCTAATCCTTTGTAATTTCCTCTAATGCTTTACTCAAGCTTAGGACCATGTGCCTTTGGGGGGCAAAGCAAGGCCCATCTGTTGAATCAGGAATTCGCCAGACCAAAGGAAAAGGTCCATCTCGCTTTTACTGGAACTCAGCATATGCATGACCCCAAATACTTCCTAACGTATCAGCCAAAACTCCCTTTGCATTATTGTGAACCACATTCCAAAGGAGGGATGTCAGGGACACTCTAAAACTTGACCATGACGGGGCAGTAGCCAATGAAGAGAAGGCATAAAACAATAGATATGTTTCTTTAGAATGTGCCTGCTCTAAAAGCTATTATCAAAATGATCACAATCATCTTGTTTGGAGAGAAAAAACATTTAGAAATGCCTTTTTTTCCAACGATTTTATTTCTTTTATTATAAGACATATAGGTAAAAACTTGCATATTCTGAAAAAGATAGAAAATGGTAATAAAATGGGCATTTTTCTTATTAAGAAACATGTTCATAAATATGCTTTATCAAATGTTAAAATGGTTGTTATTTTGCAAAATAATAATAAATAGAGCAGAGCTGTGGCAGACAAGGGTCAACCCAAAGAACTGTAAGTATTTATGTTTTCTGTTTTATAAAAATCCAGACCTTCAATTATACTTAAAAATTTGGCATTTTGCACTCTACGTTCTCAACAATTCAATTTTAAAGATATTTTTATGATGGCCCTATGATTTTAAAGATAATGAAACATGAAAGGTGGTTTGACGAAATAGAATTTGATTAAAATAATTTTGCCCTTAAATAAACAATTATTAAGACACAGTAGTAAAGATTTAATTTTTGAACCCATTAGTGGTACATGTATCAGTTCCCAATTCTACAAATTCAGGATCCCCAACTGTGGGCACTGAACAAAACTTGTTTTGCTAAGCTTTACTTTCCAGCAAGTCCGTCATTTCTTCTCACAGCTTCATGGAGCAATAAGAACCACGATCGTGATGAGCCCAGTTCTACAATCCTCGCTCCACGAATCTAAGGCAGAGAGACAGAAGTTCTGCCTCCTTGGAAAAAATCCTTTTACTGCTTTCCTATATTTCTTTATGACCCACTGATTGGCCTCAAATCCACACATCCAAACCCTGGGCAAAATTTTAATAACGAAAATGTCTAGGCATTCTTTTGTAGGCTTCAACTCTCTACTAGCCAAAGGAGAGAGGAACCACATGTGAACACCAACCACGACCTCGAATGAGTCTTGGGTGTTCGGGTAGCAAAGGTCAGGCTTTTCCTGTAAATAAATACTGACTCTTTACAAAGACCTTTCATTTCCCACGTGGCATGTTGCCCACCAGGCGACCATGTTAATTCCCAGCCACATCTAACAATACTTAAGAATCCAATCTAATATAGATTATTGGTCCCAACGGCCTTCAGTGATGTCCATCGGGGGACATCTGGGTGACTCGGGTGCCTAGAGCACAGAGAGGTCATGGCAGGACTTGGACTTGAGCTTGAAGGCCATATTCTTGTTGTTTTTGGCCACGATCTTGCCCCAGAAGCGCCTTGCCTTCCGGGGGATGCTCTCCCTCCTCTTCTGGTAGGCCAGCCGCCGCTCATTCTTCTCCTTGCTGTCCCGCCGGAGGCGGACCTGCCGCACGATGCCCTCAAACAGCTCCCGGACGTTGTGCTGGACGGCCGCGGAGGTCTCGATGAACTTGCAGTCGAACACCACGGCACACGCTCTCCCTTCTGGTGGGGAGAGGAGCGGGGAAGGTCAGAGGGGCTGCGGGGTATGATCCTACACTCACAGAGCCAAGCAGGATGAGTCCTAATTTTAAATGGTCCTTGAGGTAACTCTCAGTCAGTCCCACATGTGATGCGGACATGAGGCCACTGGGACACATGTCCTCCCGGGGCTTAAACAGAAGCAAAGAGTCTCACAGGAAGATTCCTGGAAGCAGGGGAGATGGACTTTAGATCTGGCCCACCAGATGCACTGTGTGAAGGTCTAATTTCATCAAATGTGGTAATATTAATTATAATAGTCAAAGTCATAGCCTGAATTTATTGCACTTACTCTGTGCTGGCAACTGGGTTAAATACTTTTAAATGTCCACAACAATCTTTAAAAATACATTATCCTGGGGGGAGGGTATAGCTCAGTGTTTCAAATAGATGATTAGACTGGGGTGGGAGGAGGGTCTTGTAAAAACTTGAAGGAGTTCACATAGCCTGTAAGTGGCAGATGTGAATCCAGACCGGCTTTACGCTCAAGTTCATGTTCTTAACTCTTTCTTCTCAGTTTTCTGAATTGAAGATAACTTGGCTTTCCTCTCTTAAAACAATTTTTGTAAGCTTTGGTGAGATACTTTGAAAAAAATTTGAGGATTTCACACATGTACAGTATAGTTAAGGCAAACTGTACAAACTTTTCTGAAATAGTTTTGATTTCAAATATTACACTGTGTTTGATGACCAGGCATCCAAGTTTTGGTTGGAAAGAATGATTACTGTGGATAGTCATTTCCTAAAAGACAGTCCCAAACTGGTTGGGTCTGTTAAGTCTTTAACAGGCTCTTTTCTCCTGAGCAGAGCATTGCAGTGCAGTTTTTTGTTTTTTTTAACCATTGTACTAAATCTGTATTAGGCCAATAAAATTTTAAGGGCCCCAAAATCACTTGGGTGCCAACTCAACAATTAGGAATTATCCCTGAACTAGGTATGACAAAGTAAGAATATGTGACACCATCAGACTGTTGCTTAACTGACTTTTAGGAGGCAACGGGTGAGGGCTGGTAGAGTGTTTCCAGGGTCTAAAGGAACCAGACGCAGCCAAAGCAGAATTCTTAATCTCAGTGAGACTCTTTCTCACAGTTCCCCTAAATCAGAGTTCCCATCCTTCTTACATGAAAATGCTACTTTCGCTTCCTGGAATTCTTGAGATCTCCTTAGAGAACAGAAAGGCTGAGGAGAAAAGACTGGGGACTGCCAGCAAACCCCTAAGCATGACCTCTTCCCTAAGGAATCCAAGGAAAGCCCTGGGGATGGGGAGAGTGGAATCCTGCGGGTAGGCCAGATGATCTACTGGGAATGCAGGAATCTTACAGAGTATGCATAAAACTCCCTGTGGCATCTTAATGAGTCCCTGGTTTCAGCTTCATGAAAGAGGAAGGGAAGAGCAATTGCCAGAAAGTGCAGGTGACCAGAGATGGCGTCTGTGGAATTGGCACCACTCCTCTTACCTGATACGGACACTTCCCGGCACCGCACCAAGTCGCTTTTGTTGCCAACCAAAATTATAGGAATGTCCTCGGTCTGCCGGGCCCTGCGAAGCTGGATTCGCAGCTCAGATGCCTTCTCGAAGCTAGCCCGGTCCGTGATGGAGTAGACAATCAGGTAGGCATCCCCGACTTGCATGCAGTGGTCTTGGAGCCACTCATTCTCCCCCTGATGAAATGACAAGATCTCCCATGAGCTCAGGTTCGCCTGGTAAAGGTGTCAGTTTCTGTATGTATCCTAAAGCACCCTTGATGATATGAGACAGGAAGAAAACTTATTCTGACTCCCTAAAATGCATCAGTCCTCCATGTCTGCAAGATGTCTCTGGCTGTAAAGACTGCTAGCTCATACAGTGCTGACGCCAGAAAGTTTTACTTTCTAATTCCTCCTGCAGCTTGAGTTGATAAATTATATGACTTTGCCAAACATTATTTCTAATTTTATTTAAACTACCAAATGTGAGCCTTTCTTGGCAACCAAAACAACTCTTGCCTCTCCCAAGTGATGAAATTAAGCATCCTTTCATTAGCATAGGAGGGTCCTTGATAAACAGAAGGTTCAGAATAGATGCTCAGAAGCCCCAAACGTTTAAAAAGCAAATGTTGAAAACTAGTACTGAGAGTGTCAACTTCACATCATGTGGTTTTAGGTCGTTTAAAATTATCATCCACGCTCACTGGCACTTTCCCTAAAACAAAAAAACTTTTTTTCGCATTTTTGAGCAGAACAAAGGGCAAATCACTGCGACTTGCTTGTTATTCAGAGCTCATCTGCGAACGACCTGTTCCTTAGCACAGTCTCGTTCTTCAGAAGTAAATGCTTTTAATCAAGGAAATGAGTTCACCTCATCTGGAACACCAAAAAGGGCAATGTCTCCCTTGCACCAAACACAAGCCCTGAAGGAGTTCACACAGAGCCGAGGCCCTGCATACCTTATTCTCCCACATGTCCAGGAGTATAATTGTTGCACTTTCTCCATCAACAATCAGTGTCCGCTCATAGGTATCTTCTGGAAAAGAAAGAACAGCGATATTGGAGTCAGGCAAATAGGCAACACTTTGTATATAAGAGGGTCATGTGGAAAATTATGCTGGAAAATAAACTTACTAAATACGCCATTAATTATGTAAATATACAGAGGAAACTGAGTAAATATTCACAAACATAAATTATTTTTTAATCACCATCAACAACATACATATATCCCTCCCGTATTTACTAAGCAGAACACCTAGGTCTTCTGAATGTGTATCACTAAAGCCCCTGAAATGAAAAGCATTCGTTTTCATCATTCCTACACCTTTTAGATAGGAAATCCATTTAGGAGAATAAACTCACATTAGGACTTTTGTCTCAGGTTCCACGGATGCTGCCCTGAGAAACACTAACTGCCCATTGGAACTGTAAGCCCTGCTCATAAGCCTTACAGGGAAATCCACAGCACCTTTCAGCGGAGTGCTTACTGAATTTCACTAGCAATTTCAGGAGCTTTCAGCTTAGAGGCATTTCTCCTCTTCTGAGATGTGGAAGAAAAAAACCTTGAGACTATCCCTGTTTCGGTGAAGTTTTCTTCGTTGAAAAAAATATACAGTTCCCTAGGAATAAACAGGCTTGTTTTTCCATCTTAAGTAGAACAGAAGTGCAGCCTCCAGCTCTCCTTGGTAATGGAAACTTTCCTCCCTGCACTCGAGCCCAGATGGAGTGGAGGGGAAGGGTGAATCCCGCACAGCGGGCCAGCTCCAGTCCAAAAGAGTCAGCAGGGAGGGGGAAGGAGGGGCGGATTAACTGAGTTAACTGGGAGTTGTGCAAGAGGGGCTCCCATCAACTCCACACAGTCGAGCCCATACCCACTGTATTTTCACAATGCCGTTTCCTGTTTTAAATTTAATCATTTGAAAATTACGATCTTCAGAATGATTTTTTAAAGCATTTTTCTTGTGTTCTTTTTGCCTAGAATCTGTTCTTTCAAATATCCAAAGGCTTGTTCCCTTACCTCCTTCTGTGCCTTCTCTGAGCATCTATTTAAAATTACATCACCTCTCCCCTACCAACATCCTTTATACATTCCCTGTTTTACTTTACTTCATTGTGCAGATTGCCATCTAACGTGACTCCATTTAACTTACTTAGTTTATTATTTTCTGCCCCTCTCACCCCCTAGAGTGTTACAGCAGAGATTTGCATCTGTGCTGTTTACTGCCACATCCACCGGCACCCTGGTAGATTGTAGGCGCTCAGTAAATACTTGTCAAATGAATGAATGAATGACAACTATAGCATTGCAGCTGTGAGCACAAGGAAACCTGAATCTGAATCTGGATGCCATGCCTTATTAACTATTTGGCTCTGGACTGCTTACTTAGGGTCTCTGGGCCTCAGTTGCTTCATCTGTGAAATGGGACTAATAACAGTTCCCGCGCCTTAGGGCTGTGTGACGATTCTGTATATTGAATGTTATATTAAATGTTAGCTGCTATCATCACTTCTTCATAGGCAGGAATTCAGTTCTTGCCATTCTTGCCATGTCCCGTTCTAGATAAATCCGAGCTGAAAAGCATGACGCTGGAGGACCCAGGACATTCCCTGTTTTATACTAGTGAGGGGTTTATAAAAACAATGCTCCCGGTTTAATGTTTCTGCATCTAGGAACTAGACTCAGGAGAGGGAAAGGAAGGAACACATGGACAAATGAGAAGAAAATTAACC